TTGTTACCCATGGAGATATAACAGCTTGGCCAATGCATGCGATGTGCAAACAATTATCGTTTTCATTCAGAACTATTGCCCAGTGAAATGTGCACAATTATCTGCTCATTGCGTGCCATGCGCAATAGCTGTGAATGAAACATAATTCTCCCAACATTCCACAGTAACCACTATGTGTGCTGATGAACAACCGTCACATCGGAAAACCACAGTGTGAACATGTTGGTAACAATAACCCACCTCCGATGTGCGGAGCTTCACTGCTGTAAGCCGAATTGTGAGTGGACGTGGAGTTCCTTTTAGGTTTTATTTAATGGATTGATGGCATAATCTATTGAATGAGTGAGTTAAGTGAGTGAGTTAATATTTAACGTCACATCGGCAATATTCCAGCCATATAGTGACGAGAAATATTTTATATAAATAATAAATTATAGTTGATAAAGAATCAGTCAGCGAAGGACTGTAACATAACTAGAGTATCACAGATGGAGTCTAAAACTAGCATGAACATGTAAAACTATTTTATTTACGAAGACAATACAATATAAAAACGGGCTATAGATTGCCAACAACTGAAGGCAGATCACCATACTAGGAACCATGGGGACTTACATTACTTTTGCTACCTGCATGGACCCTAGTTGGATTTACACCATCCCTTCAGCCATTGGCGACAGAAGAGAAATCTAGCCATAAATTCAAAGCACACATATTCTACGATTAAAAACGTGGTAAGCCTAAATTGACTCTAAATGTGTTGGGACTTACGTACCCCCTCAGTATGTATAGTAAGCAATTTCAAACTACCACTGTGCGTGGAGGTTAACACGTACGTTACGCATTATATTGGATTGATTAAACTGGGTACTAAGTGTTTCTTAAAATTGTATCTTAGATATCATATTCTAAAAATCTCCCCAACATCTAAATCATTACAAGTGCTCAAGCAAGTGGGCATTTGTTTTATACATTCAACAAAGTCATTCCACTTCAATTCTTTCTTCGATGCGAGACGGACGACACGCACTAGGTGGCACTTTGGTGTATGTGAATATGATTCACATGGGCAATCTATAATGTCCAGTAAAATAGGAAATATGGTTCAGACATGTAGTACATGTTCAGCTTTTCTAGTCCAGCAGCAAAAGGAATCTCTCATGACACACAAAACACCTACAACTCCATGGTCTAAAGTAGGACAGTACGTGTTTGTGATTCGCGTCCAAAACTATTTGGTAACTGTAGATTATCACAGTGACAACTTCGAGCTGGACCATGGTACAACAACAGCGTCAGTAATAGATGCCACAAAAGCAAAATTTGCTGGACATGGCATAGCTGACATTAGGAATTTGCAGCCCTTGTGCGTGATTGGGAGTTAGAACGCATAATTTCACCTTACCGCATCCATAGTAATGGGAAAGCAGAGATAGCGGTCAAAATAGCCAAGAATGTGGTAAAGAGAACGAAGCACAAGACTGTTGGAATGGCTTAACACTCCAGATGCGTACGGTAACAGCCCTGTGCAGAAACTGATGTCTAGAACTAAGACAACTATGCCAACTGCTGTTAGTTTACTGAAACCACAGACTGTGGATATGTATGACAACACCGTCAACCACTGACAAAAAGCCAAAGCCTTTTACTACAGAGACGCTAAGCTGTTGCCGAAGCTTGACGTTGGAGACAGCGTGAGATTACAGTCTGTAAATCCAAATATGCCCTGGGTCATATGTGGTCAAGGTTGGATCAAGATCCTACCTGGTCCAGTCCAAATCCAGATCTTATAGGAGAAATTGAACATTTCATAGGCTTGACCGCAGCTATACACAGATGGACAAACCTGTTCAGTCTCCTCCAGGCTAGCCACCAAGTCCGCTGGAGAAGATCATCTTTTTCAGTGAACCGGAGAAGACACGAGAAACACTGATTAAAAATCCAACACACACCTAATACGCCCTGCTACACTGCAGACACTACCAACAACACAGAATGGTGCTCCACACTTCACTGGACACTAACACACACCTAACATGTCCTGCTACACTGCAGACACTACCAACAACACAGAATGGTGCTCCACAGATCACTGGACACTAACACACACCTAACACGCCCTGCTACACTGTACACACTACCAACAACACAGAATGGCGCTCCACAGATCACTGGACACTAACACACACCTAACACGTCCTGCTACACTGTACACACTACCAAAAACACAGAATGGTGCTCCACAGATCACTGGACACTAACACACACCTAACACGTCCTGCTACACTGTACACACTACCAACAGCACAGAATGGTGCTCCACAGATCACTGGACACTAACACACAACTAATACGCCCTGCTACACTGCAGACACTACCAACAACACAGAATGGTGCTCCACAGATCACTGGACACTAACACACACCTAACACGCCCTGCTACACTGTACACACTACCAACAACACAGAATGGTGCTCCACACTTCACTGGACACTAACACACACCTAACATGCCCTGCTACACTGCAGACCCTACCAACAACACAGAATGGTGCTCCACACTTCACTGGACACTAACACACACCTAACACGTCCTGCTACAATGCAGACACTACCAACAACACAGAATGGTGCTCCACACTTCACTACCAACAACACAGAATGGTGCTCCACAGATCACTGGACACTAACACACACCTAACACGCCCTGCTACACTGTACACACTACCAACAACACAGAATGGCGCTCCACAGATCACTGGACACTAACACACACCTAACACGTCCTGCTACACTGTACACACTACCAACAACACAGAATGGTGCTCCACAGATCACTGGACACTAACACACACCTAACACGTCCTGCTACACTGTACACACTACCAACAGCACAGAATGGTGCTCCACAGATCACTGGACACTAACACACACCTAACACGCCCTGCTACACTGTACACACTACCAACAACACAGAATGGCGCTCCACAGATCACTGGACACTAACACACACCTAACACGTCCTGCTACACTGTACACACTACCAACAACACAGAATGGTGCTCCACACTTCACTGGACACTAACACACACCTAACATGCCCTGCTACACTGCAGACACTACCAACAACACGGAATGGTGCTCCATAGTTCACTGGACACTAACACACACCTAACACGTCCTGCTACACTGCAGACACTACCAACAACACAGAATGGTGCTCCACACTTCACTGGACACTAACACACGCCTAACACGCCCTGCTACACTGCAGACACTACCAACAACACAGAATGGTGCTCCACACTTCACTGGACACTAACACACACCTAATACGCCCTGCTACCAGAGACCATTCTATTATATGGTCTCTGTTGCTACACTGCAGACACTACCAACAACACAGAATGGTGCTCCAGAGTAAACTGGACACTAACATGCGTCATGTTAACCCCACTAAGTAACGTCAACCAAACCTTGAAAGCCTGAGGTATATTCTTATCGAAACTGGCCTTCAAGGTCGCTTATAAACCCATAACCAACCTTTACTAACATAAAAATAATAATAAAAAACAACATCAAAACAAAAGCCAACAAATCCATCTCATACTTCACCCCTCCTACAACCGCCCCCGTGGTGTAGTGGTTAGAGCGTCCGCCCGAAGAGCGGAAGGTCGCGGGTTCGATCCACGACCGCGTCATACCAAAAGACGTTAAAGTATGGTACGTTGAACAACCACCAATCGGACCAAGCTCTGACAGGGAACAAGCCACGCTGTAGACTTCAGTCTACTCTGACGAGTCCATTGTTTATTAATTTAACGTACTTTATTAAAAACAAAACATGTAAAACAATACTATACTGTTCACACTTTGTTATGGATGAGGGGCGGTGGGGTAGCCTAGTGGTTAAAGCGTTGGCTCGTCACGCCGAAGACCCGGGTTCGATTCCCCACATGGGCACAATGTGTTAAGCCCATTTCTGGTGTCCCCCGCCGTGATATTGCTGGAATATTGCTAAAAGCGGCGTAAAACTAAACTCAGTCAGTCAGTGTTATGGATGAAATCATTGATTCAACAGAAAACTATCATGTGGGGTCTAATTTGGTTTAAATATCTAAGCTTATTGTAAGGATGGATCCCAGGTTTCAGTATGTCACTGCATCTTGTGGATGCCATACCTGCCATTGACAGGTGTTGTTTATTTCTCAATGACTTGTTCCATGATTTGCAAAAATGGTTGATTGGTGCAATGAAAACCAATTTATGGTTACTCATGCATCAAGTGCATAAGGTTAGATTAAGTGGCTGTTTGCCCAAATGAGGGTTACCATATTATTTTTTATTCAGTTTAAAATGGATACAAATTAAATTTATAAATCTGTTTAGTAAAGTTGCGAATTTACGTGATCCTTAGCAAAGTGTGAGTAGTATAATTTCAAATGTATGTTTTGGGCGGGACAATTACTTTATGTGGCACTGTGTTTCCTCGGCTCACTCCCGATTAATTCCCAACGCTGTTCTCAGAGTTCCGGGGCTGTGGGGTAGCCTAGTATTGCTGGAATACTGCTAAAAGCGGCGTAAAACTAAACTCAGTCAGTCAGTCTCAGAGTTCCCTCAGCGAACGAAACTGTATCCTGAAAACTCATAAAATTGTAACGCCGTTCTTAAAATCGTTGATGTGTAAATTGACAAATATAATCACTCATTTCAAACTAAATGAATATGTCAGTCATCTTACTGATTGACTGCCGTAATGTATTGACTTTATGATACATATTACCTTAAAGGAAATATAACGTAACAAGAATCACTTGTTGGTTGTAAGAACCGACTAATGAGGATCTGTTAGGATGTAAACGTGTACAGTGACGTAATCGTTGATTTTTAACTTAGGCAAGAGTTAGATTGTAGAATCTGTCGACAAAGGAGAGTAAATTAACTGGATTATCATATCACCCATAAAAAAATAACTGAAATTGGCAGGCCCTTTACAAATTTACCGCCTTTATCTATTGGCCGTTACATACATTTTATCTCAGTGGTAACATAGGTAAAAAATCACTTGCTTCTTGTAAGAAGCAGTAATGAGGATCTGTTACAATGTATACGTGTGACGTCACTTGTTCACCTGGTCAATGCACGATAAAATTCAACACATTGTGATTATTTTATTGTACCTCCAATATTCCTGACAGCAACACAATCAACACGTACTCACCCAGCTTAAGATGCCGTGCATCTCGGTACAAGGGAGCATCAATCTAGACAAATGTCCTACAGTATATTGAACATGATCGGTAGTAAGTTAGCATGGCACTGATGTTCATCACTCACAGCGAATACTTTTTGCAGACGTCTCTTCAACAATGTCAGCCATGTTCGGGACAAGGAGCAACGGTCCACTGGGATAACACCCTCCTGCATATCCGCCACATCTGAGATAAATTACAGTCCCATTATTCCTGTAAGAGATGTTCATAGCTGCTTTCCACCCTACTTCTCTCCATTTCTGATCTGGGGAAACAATCCATCCCGTTTTTCGCAGATTGATTGTGAACTCGCCTTTAACACCACACTGACTTACTAATCTATTGTGGTGTTCGGTGTAACAGTCACGTGCACTACCATACTTTGGGGGATTTCCTGAAGAACGCGCAAAAGTGGTGTCGTCTTGTTTAATTTCCATTGTCTGCAAATCTACTCTGATCTTCTCATACCAAACCTCCCCTTCATGACTCAGACAATTATCAGTCAGCTTGCCTTCTCCACCACAATTCCGGTTTGTTATTGCAGGGTAAATACCATGATTGTGAAATTGAAGTGTGAGATACTCTTTGGGATTCCCGGTTCTCATGTCATGGCAGTAGATCCGGGTCTGATAGAAATGGAACTTCGGCAGCCTCATCCAATACTCTCCATCAGTACTATTGGGATGGCACTGCTTCACACTGGCACACGACGATGGTACCGCCAGCTGACAGTTGGTAAACGTCCAGTTACCCGTCGCATCACATTCTGCCCAAGTCTCAGGTAGGAAGTCTTTGTCACAAATGTACTTGAGGACAGTTCCAACTGGACTTTCCAAGTATGAGACTGTTGTATTCAAGGTTGTGTAGGGTATCTCGGGGATGTCCGATCTCAAACAACCAGATACCACACATTCTGGGACCGGCGATGTAACACAGCGTGAATTAAGGCTACACGTGTGATTAACACAAGGACCTGCAAGAGTTGTAGGCCAGTTTTGGATGTCTGACTGTACGAAGGAGGAAGCAGCAGCTTGTATGTTGGAAGGGGCTGAATCCATGAAGGACTGGCTATTGAGCTCACAAATACCAGTTCCAATGTTATAGTTGATTGATTTACATCCTGTTTTCAGAAGACAGTATTGGACACATATCATCAGTCCACGGACTTTAAAAGAGTGGATTTGAACATCTGACAGTCTCACTCCCTTCTTCAGATTGTACACACTCCTTACATCCGTGCACATCTGTCCTACATTTTGTGCAACTTCGGTTAGAAGGACTGCAGCAAAGAACGCCAAAGTTGTAAGATGCATTCTATTTGTACTGCTTCCCAGAATATGCGCTTTCTGTCAACAAGGTATCAGACAGATTTCAAAGTGCGATCGTTCATATGAGACGCTACACTAAGATGAGTCGTTTCCTGAGATGGAAATTGTGTCTGTGCTTTGCGTCGGTTGATGCACATTGAAACCGTCTTCTAATTGCGTTATATCCATCATGTACATTTGAAGATAAACTCTTCAAAGCTGTAAAGAGGATGCTATTTTGTAATCCACGACATGCCCTGGTGGTTATATGTAGAGTTTAGTCCATATTCTGTTTCAAGTGCTTTTTCGACTTTTTTTTTGTCTTTTTATCAACGTGTCCCATCGTACGTGCTGAACTTCGTCTACGATCTATATCTGACAAAAGGTTCTGCAATAACAAATACCTCGGGTTGTTTGAAAAGAACGATGAACTTGATGTCACTTTAAATAAGTGTCACATTATTATTTAAAATGTTCCTGGCTTGTCCTGCAGGGCGGCTGGACTGAGAATAGTATACAGATGGAGGCATCTTCGAACTTTGAACTGTATAATATATTATATAGCATGTGGTCAATGACATGACAACCTAAAGGTTTTGTTTGTAGGTCTTATAGTATTCGGTGGATCTTGTATGTATTTGGGGTTTATACCACTGTCGTAACTACGTACAACTGTCAGTATACCCTGAAAGAGTTACCTACTCGTATTGCCGTTCAATGTTATTCTGGGGGGATGAAAAGGACTCAACACTGGTCCGTTGAGGATCGCTGAGTCCAGGAGTGAGGCGTCGGACGAGCGTAACTCCTAACCAACGAGTCGACACCGTGGTGTAGTGGTTAGAGAGTCCACCCGGAGAGCGGAAGGTCGCGGGTAGACAGAACAGGATAGATTCGTCCCATAGTGAGTGACAGCGATTCGGCTCGGTCCATTGTTAGGTCTGTGCCACTCGATCTACTCGTGTTGAAAGTATCTTTATGAATGGTTCGAGCCTCACCTGACTTGATCACATGTCCTAATACATCGTTGGGTTCGTTATATCTGACCATGAACACATGACGTACATGACTGATCGGTGAATCATCCGTTATCCGGTGAATCATTATTGATTTTTTGAGTAAGTTTCATCTGTTCTGTCTCTTATTACGAGGACCGCCTCCGTGGTGTCGTGGTTAGAGCGTCCGGAGAGCGAAAGTTCGCGGGTTCGATCCCCGGCCGTGTCATACCAAAAGACGTTAAAATATGGTACTTGTTGGTCCCTGCCTGGCGCTCGGCATTAATGGGTACAACAAGGACTGGTCGGCTCGGAGTCGGTATAATGTGTCTGAGTGGGGTATCCATGCTTCACTGTGGCATGGTATCTCAGTGGGCTAGCACTATAAAACCAGCTTCAGTCTGGGAAAGTTCAAGCAGCCGCACATACACACACACACACACACACATGCACGTCGTCATATGGACAAAATATTCCCAAGCATGACGTTAAATCCAATTTCACTTCACCTCACGACAACTATCAGCCAAATTGGGTGTCTGAGTGGGGTATTCATGATTCACACCAGCATGGTATCTCAGGGAGCTAGCACTGTTAACCCAGCTTAATCCATATAAGCGAAATATTCTTTAGTACGACGTTAAACCCCATTTCACCTCACCTCTTATTACGAATGTGTTCTGCCCTTACCATCTAATTAAATGACAACGGTAACACGAAACAATTAGCAAATACACATATCACTACCAATCGTTCGTGACATTCTGTCATCAGTACTTTCCCCAAATATCAGCGACTTTGAAGCAATGATGAGAATAGCCGTTAATCTAAATAATGAATTTGTTGAGATGTTCAAATGTGTTTGGAATCCAACTCTACTATCCATCAATATCAACCCTGTTTTCAGTATGGGGTCACATATTCAACCCTCTAAACTCGGAGGGGCGGTGGGGTAGCCCGGGTTCGATTTCCACATGGGTACAATGTGTGAAGCCCATTTCCTGTGTCCCCCGCCGTGATATTACTGGAATATTGCTACAAGCGTCGTAAAACCAAACTCACTCCCTCTAAACTCGGAAGACATGATATCAGCACATGTTTACTTTGAACTATAATCCCTTGTCTGACTTGGGAGATAGAGTTAAATAGTGTGTTCCAAGAGGTGGAACAAAACAACCTTTGTTCAAATCTGTAGTCGAACAATAGAACAATGGTATATTTCATGTGTTAAAATATTCAACTATTGTATGTACCATGTGGTTGAAGTAAACATTCACTGTCTGAACCAGGTTTAGTTCAGTCGTTTGTTACGAGACGTCGAACTTGCTTTTCCTTAATACAGTTCTGTACGATAAAGTGAGTGAATGAGTTTTGTTTTACGCCGCTTTTAGCAATATTCCAGCAATATCACGGCGAGGGACACCAGAAATGGGCTTCACACATTGTACCCATGTGGAGAATCGAACCCGGGTCTTAGGCGTGTTGAACGAATGCTTACCCGCTAGGCTGCCGTACGCCCCTCTGTATGATAAATGGTCCATGACAGCCAATCGTATGGTAGACACTATTTCTCATTTGGTTTAGCTACCTCACCAAAACATTTTAATAACATATTGTCCCTCTAATACACTATTGTCTTTATCGCTATGCTATAAAATGCTTTTTTTGTACCAACGGTCTCCAGTCAGTTGATAGCTTTTGCAAGCGATGCCACAACATTGGGCATTCGTATCAGTGATTCAAATGATTACAGAAATGACCTTCGCCCGATCATGCAGTCAGTCACGTGGCTGTAGACGAGAATGGCGGCACCTAGCTGTACAAAGAGAATACATGGCACGGTATGTATCAATTGCCAACCTTTTCACAATATCTGAGTTTCTTAAAACATTACCCCCATAACAAGATAATGAATTACGTCGTGCGGTTTTCGGAGACATTTAGATTTAGGATGTGTCTTGTTGCGTTGCACTTTTCTCATTTCTTGATGTTCAAGAGGTGTAGAGCACGCCACAGAGCAGCCAGTAGAGCACGCCATACAGCTTCCAGTACAGCACGCCATACAGCTGCCAGTTGGGCACGCTATACAGTTGCCAGTAGAGCACGCCATACAGCTGCCAGTACAGTACGCCACAAAGCTGCCAGTAGAGCACGCTATAGAGCTACCAGTAGAGCACGCCATACAGCTGCAAGTTGAGCACGCCATACAGCTCTCAGTAGAACACGCCTTACAACTGCCAGTAGAGCACGCCACACAGCTGCCAGTCGAGCACGCCATACAGCTGCCAGTACAGCACGCCATACAGCTGCCAGTACAGCACGCCATACAGCTGCCAGTAGAGCACGCCATACAGCTGCCAGTAGAGCACGCCATACAGCTGCCAGTAGAGCACGCCATACAGCTGCCAGTAGAGCACGCTATACAGCTGCCAGTAGAGCACGCTATACAGCTGCCAGTAGAGCAGGATATACAACTGCCAGTAGAGCACGTCATACAGCTGCCTGTAGAGTACGCCATGCAGCTGCCAGTAGAGCACGCCATACAGCTGCCAGTAGAGCACGCCATACAGCTGCCAGTACAGCACGCCATACAGTTGCCTGTAGAGCACGCCATACAGCTGCAAGTTGAGCACGAAATACAGCTTCCAGTACAGCACGCTATACAGCTGCCTGTAGAGCACGCCATACAGCTGCTTGTAGAACACGCCATACAGCTGCCAGTAGAGCACGTCATACAGCTGCCTGTACAGCACGCTATACAGCTGTCAGTACAGCACGCCATACAGCTGCCAGTACAGTACGCCATACAGCTGCCAGTACAGTACGCCATACAGCTGCCTGTACAGCACGCCATACAGTTGTCAGTACAGCACGCCATACAGCTGCCAGTACAGCACGCCATACAGCTGCCAGTACAGCACGCCATACAGCTGCCAGTAGAACACGTCATACAGCTGCCTCTAGAGCACGCCATACAGCTGCCTCTAGAGTACGCCATAGAGCTGCCAGTACAGCACGCCATAGAGCTGCCAGTAGAGCACGCCATACAGCTGCCAGTAGAGCACGCCATTGAGCTGCCAGTACAGCACGCCATACAGCTGCCAGTAGAGCACGCCATACTTAGCCTTTCCGTGAACACCCGGTGTCAACAGTGAATGTTCAACCATCCGTGTAATGGTTTATATGTTAAGTTTTCGTTTTGTCACAAATGGAACTGTGTTGGGGATAATCCTGACGTATTGTTGATGTTGGGTTTATACAGAACTACGAGCAAAGGCGAATGTTTCAAAAGGGGCAAAGAAACTGTGTCATTCGTTACTGATCCAATGGTGCAATGAACCCCAAACGTCATATGCAAATGTAAAGAGACATCAACTTAGTAGAGCTAAGACACCCCCATTTTAGTCTTTCCAAAACATTGTGTCGGCAAGTTCCCAATATCGTAGGAGTTCGAGCCGAGGTTTTTTAGTCTTTTCAAAACATTGTGTCCAGATATTCAAGCTAGTCCTGCCTACAATATATTCAAACTAATGAACATATAGTTCTAGATTAATATCGACTGTTGATTGGTGGGGGAGCAGCACAATGCGGCCGCCGTTCTGTGGTAAATAAAGGACAGTTTGATCACTCGTCCTCCTTAGCTGAGGATGTTGAATTTCATGTCATAACATGTACATACGCGATCGCGGCATTCGTGACCAACTCGTGTTATTCCGGGACAAGCCGAATAGCAAGTTTACGGAAAGGAGCGAGTGGTGACGAATGGTGATCGCGGGTGTGTTGATCGAAAACCGGACAAAGAGTCTCATAATCATTCACACTGAGGAATATTCTCGGACGGTGGAGGGAGGCATGCGTGCGTCCATGTTTTCATGAAAACAACGTCACAGATATGAAGGGTTGTTTTGTTATGAAATTCGTTTCTTGGATGAAACGATGGCTTGAGAACTTGCTTCAATAAATGCCGGTGTTGCCTTATTGATCAATGAAAGATACCTGAGTGCACCAGATGCGTCACATGCTTGAAATTGCCCGCGGAGATCCGGGTTATACTGGTTTTTGGCCGATCAGCGAAAACCCTTCTTCAACAACGGAAAAAGGTGTTCGCTCAATAGGTCCCAAAGCGGAGTTAATTAAGCACGG